TCAGGAATGGACTAGCCAGCAATGGTGGGACTCACCTGCCTTTTGATCTGCAGTACCAGGGCTGGCCAGCGGGTGCTCCCAGCAATCAGAGACTCAACTTTGCAGCCAGCTAACACCTGGAACTGATTATGCTGGGGTATTTAAGGGATGGCCAGACTTGCAGACTCTGCCTTGGTGTTGTGTTTCTCTTGGGCCCTGTATCCTGTTCCTGCTCTCTGTTCCTGTCTGATTCTCTGCTGACCCTGCTCTGATCCCTGGCTTGTCTGACCATCCCTCTGCCTGACCCTCTGTACTACGCTGCCTGCTACCTGTTCTGATCCCTAGCTTGTGACCCTGACCATCCCTCTGCCTGACCCTCTGTACTACGCTGCTTGCTACATGCTGAACCTGGCCTGTGACCCCGACCAATCTCCGCTTGCTCCCCCTGTACCTACCTGCCCAATTGATATTTGACCGGCCTGCCTGACGACGCTTGCTTGTATGTACTGTTATCTGTGGGTGGGTGGTTGGTTTGGTTTGTTTGCACTGTATTATGTTTAGTATTGCACTGCGTTTATGTTTGTATTGTTAGTGTTAATAAATTATATTGTTTATCACATATCTGAAGTCTGCGTTTCCCTGCGTCAGTCACACACCTCTGGTCACACCTGGGAGCCCTGACACTGTCCCTGAGTAACAATTCTGTGTCCCTGAGTAACAATTCTGTGTCCCTCAGTAACAATTCTGTGTCCCTCAGTAACAATTCTGTGTCCCTCAGTAACAATTCTGTGTCTGTCCCTGAGTAACAATTCTGTGTCCCTGAGTAACAATTCTGTGTCCCTGAGTAACAATTCTGTGTCCCTCAGTAACAATTCTGTGTCCCTCAGTAACAATTCTGTGTCTGTCCCTGAGTAACAATTCTGTGTCCCTCAGTAACAATTCTGTGTCCCTCAGTAACAATTCTGTGTCCCTGAGTAGCAATTCTGTGTCCCTCAGTAACAATTCTGTGTCCCTCAGTAACAATTCTGTGTCCCTCAGTAACAATTCTGTGTCTGTCCCTGAGTAACAATTCTGTGTCCCTCAGTAACAATTCTGTGTCCCTCAGTAACAATTCTGTGTCCCTAAGTAACGATTCTGTGTCCCTAAGTAACGATTCTGTGGCCCTAAAGTCTCTCTGGCCCTAACTCTGTCCCTAATACAGACAGGTCTGTCTCTCTTGAATGACCGGAGGCTAATGGAGAATTGTAAGATGGCCGCAATTTATAGCTCCACCAATACACAGTGCTGGCTGGCTGGCTGGCTGGCTGCTGATTGGCTAATGCAATCACATGTCATGAATGAATGCATTATGGGTCAGCGCGCCTTGTCTGCGCGCCTTCCCAGAGATCCCCGCTCCGTCGCCACACATGTCGCCGCCATTTTTTGGGAAAATTCGATTCGTGCATCCGAAGTTGGCTAATTTTCGGATTCGGCGCGAATCGAATATTTCCCAATATTCGAAAAACGAATTCCACTTCGCCATGTTCGATTCGCTCATCTCTAATTATTATCATTAAACACTTTTAGCAGAGATCACATGACCAAGAGCTAAGGCATGTCAGACATATGGTCAGCACCAAATTAAGCCTGGATCAGCATTTTATCAAGGAAAAGGAAAGTAATTTAGGCCTTCTATTTCTACTTTTTCACTCCAGCTGTTAACATAATGTGGCAGTGCGGTGCCGTGTCATGGGTAAAAAGAATTAATGACCCAAGATTCTCATCCAGGCAGGTTGAGGAGCTCCAGGGAACCTGGGTCATTCAGAGGAAACTGACTTTTCTGTTTCCTCATCAGTTAATAAAACCTGTTTTGGGACCTGGAGACCAAAGATTTTGTAGAGATCTGGGAAGGATGAAATCTCCAATCCTGGGTCCATGTTTTGAGAACCACCAGCAGACTAATTGGGCTGGTGTATGATGGGATTTTAGGAGAGACTGGTCTAGGGTTCTGGGCTCCACCCCAGCAGACAGATGAGGTCATTGTCCAGGAGTCAGGAGGGTTCCACTTAGGAGAGAGGTGGGAGCCAGAACAGCAAGGGGCACCAAGTTATGTGCACAGAGTTGGGTATGAAGTCTGTAGGAGGCAGACAAAAGGCCTAAGTACCAAATCAGGAGTGCTGCCTGTATAAGCCTGGAGTCTGAATGTGTATTTCTTTGGATGGAAATGCTGAAACCCCCTGTGAAAGAAACTCATTGATTTTGTTTGATCTTTGAAGCTATGTTGAAATTTCTTTTTTTTTTAACGGGCAAGAAAAGCCCTTAAAATGAAGAAAAATGAGTATTGATGTCCTTAAAAGCTCCATCACTTGAACCTACTTTGCAGAATAGGTTTATGATAACATTTCAGTATCTGTCTGTTTTAAAATAAGGGGTCCCTGGTCCTCCTATCACTGTACTAATTCAATTTGTTCTTCTTTATTAAAACTTTCTCATGTATTACTCCTGTTTATATACAATGACCAATGCAGGAGAAAATGCAGAAAATTTTTTTTTTTCTGATTATTGATGGCAAAAAAATATCTAGTGTTTGTTTACCTTTTAGGTCCAAGGAGAGTTAAAGAGAAAATGGGGAAGTTTTTATCTGAACCAGTACCTAAGCCGAGACTATCGTCTACACAGCTTATCAATTTCACGAAATGGCTCAGAGTGTGTTCCACAATTTCACCGAAACTCAAGAGCACCATCCATCATGCAAACTGAAACTTCCATCATATAATTTGTATAGTTACAAAATCAAATATCCAGCGTAAGGACTGCTGAAAATTCTGTGCATCTAAATTTGCTATCAGTGAAAAAAGAACTATACATTTAAGTGTTTTATTTCAAATCTGATGACCAACAAATTTTTCTATGAACTTTTGGACTTGATGTTGCACTTACCACTCTATCATGCCATTCTTATCATGTAATTTATTATGTTTGTGTATTACCTTTATGTTTTGTGGAACGTTCTGTTATTTGAGTATTAAACTGTATAGTTCATTTGTATGAACTCCTTGTAGACTGAGGGATAATTGTGCATTATGTGTATTTGGCTACCATTTATCTAATGTTGGAAAGTTTCTCTAGCTTAATAATTCCCCCCCTATTATGCTCTTTTTTTACTTTGTCAAATACACAGGTGTGTCAACTGGCTTTGCATGTCAAAAGGGGTTTCTAAGTATTTCATTCCAAAATGCTTCTATTGCAATTCTCCAAAAATAAGAACATATTGATGTACAATAAGTGGAACTAAAGAGATTACCAATCACAGTATCAGAATTTTTCCATAGTAAGGTATTTGTGCTCATCCTTTGTATGGATGTCTAAGAGAGCAGAGGAGCTGGACCCTATGACATTACTGCATGTGACATGGGATGATGGTTTACACAAACACCTCTGAGGCTGGCTATAGGTGTTGTCAACAAAGGTGATGGATATTCAGTCAACTGTTAATATACTCTACAGGGTTGCCAGCTCACCATTTTAATTCCTGACAAATTCAACGCACATTATACAGTTTCTAAAGTTAAACTAGATTTAAACACAGTCACTAAAACCTCATATAAGCTTCAACATGATGTCAATTCAAATGATGTTTTCAATGGTTCCCTGTAACCATAAATCTGTGGGTTGTGGATTAACAGTTGACTTGCATTTGTGCTCCTGCAATGTTACCCTGTCACATGTGCCTTTGGGGGAGACTACAAATGGCTTTAGTGACACAGGTAGCACAGATATGGTCTACAGTTGTCACCATCCGGAAGCCCATCCAAAGTAAAGGATCACAGCTGGTACTGGCACATGTGCATATAGACAGGAAGTGACTGAAAACAACTGGAACAGAATAGCAACACTGAGTTGCAAACAGATAAAAAAAGATAATATTTTATATAAAAATGATATAGCAGTTAGCAGTTGTTGATACACAATATTTAAGGAAACTAAATGCCATCCTGTTAGGGTATAGATCCACTTTCATTATATTATCGTTAGTACCTTAGCTCCTTACTTAGCTTCAACCATGAACTCTTTGCAATTCATATTTCTGAGTGTGAGTTGGTAACCAAGTGACAGTTTTGCCACAGTCTGTTTTATAACTCCATTCACATTTGGTTGCAATGAAAGGATTATTTCCTTCTCTTCCTAGGAAAGGGAAAGATCTGTATCTGACAGCACTAGTATTTCCAACCATATTACAAAATCTCTATGTGTAATGACAAGCTCTTCCAGAAGTGCTCAATGTCTCAACCATCATGAGACAGCCTTCTGATTACCCAGTAACTGTAAGTGATGCTTAAACCTTTCTCATGGCTTGCCAACAGTTGATGGGGCAACCTTAAATGATTACCTTAAAAATATTATGTATGTTGTAGAAAAAGTGTTCTAGGATGACTCACGTCTTTGTTGCAGGACTGCCTGTTAGATGTTATCCAGATAGCCATTTTGCTATGGGGCTTTGCCAGTAAAAGATCTGACCTTAGTTTGGCAAATGTAGCCAGTGGAATATCTTGGCATCAGCTTCATACGGCTCCAATTAGTAATAGTGCTGTTCATTTCTAGGTTAAGAATTTTCCCAGATCTTCCATGCTGTCTCGGCTAAAATAAATTAGATCCTTCTCTATTTCCCAGTGCTGGAAATCTGATTGGCTGTTGTTGACAAAAAAGACTGTGTGAAAGTTTTGCATGGATGCATAATAAAACTTCAAGAGGTTTCTTTAAGAAAGGAACAAGACAAAATGAAAACTGACCATTGTTCAGATTCTATTGTGCATCATTTTATTAGAGAGTTGAAAATCACAGCAGACACATGATTGGTTGCTACACGTATTGACTATCCAGTTGTCATATTAGGAGGGAGTGAAATTTGGGGACACCTGCACATTTCCCTAGTATTGAACAAGCTGATAATAACAATGGTGTGGATATCATGTAAGGGGCTCCCTCCTGGCTCATGTATAGCAATGATGTTCAGAGGCTCCCTATGCACATAGGTAATGCATTATGGCAAGAGAAGTGCTCTGTCCACAGTGCGATCACATAGACTGGAACATGGCCCAGGAACATGGCCCAATGTGGAGTAATTATTGATCAAAGTTTACAGCAAAAGCACTTTCACTTTGATATTCTCTAGTAGCTTGTGTTGTCTAGTAGCTTGCCATGGGGTTCCCCTTATAATTCGTACCAGACCCGAAAGGCCTGGTATGGACTGTAGACAGGCTACCACACAGTGTTGTTTAATGTTGACATTCTTTTGCTTACATTCAGCTGTCAGTGGGGAATCCCATTAACACCTGATGAGTCATTGGTTGTTAAGGACACAAGTGGCTTCCCACTTCTTAACCTGCTATACACTGCTAAACACTGGTAATATGCCTGCAAAAAAACTAAGATTGAGCATTTTCTATCAAGCATTTTTCTGTTGTTTATTTCCAGTTCCTAGTATGCAGGGAGCCTTATAAGGATTTGACTGTAAAAAATTTTTTTTGTTTATTCACAGTGATGACATTATCATTTTAGTTTTAGTTAATCACACAGCACTACATTTGGTTTGAATATATGGTGCGGCAACTGCCCACTCTTTGCAATTTGGATTTTAGGTAGCTCTATTTATTTTGTTTCGGATCAACATTCTCTAAGTTACTCATTTTGTTTCATTGCATTCACAACAAAATTTGTTCAGTTTTGTTTTGTTTATAGGTTTTTCGACTGGATTCAAGTACAAATTATTGAATCGATCCAAATTCATTGTGAAGAATAGCTGGTTCTATTCTATTTAAAATTATAATTTCAGAAGACTTTTTTCTGTTCTTTTCTTTTCTATTCTATTATTTTATATTCTATTATGTTCTGTTTTACTCTATTCTTTTCTATTTTATTTTATTCTATTCAGTTTTATTCTATTCTATTCAAAAATTTGAATTTTGTATAATGGCTATATTCTTTCTATTCTATATTTTTCTATTCTATTCTTTTCTATTTTATTATTTTTATTTTCTATTCTATTCTTTTCTGTTTTACCATATTCTTTTCTTTTCTATTCTATTATTTTCTATTCTATTCCTTTATTTTCTATTTTATTGTATTCTTTTATTTTCTATTCTGTTCTGTTTTATTCTATTCTTTTTGAAATTTGAATTTCAGAAGTCGGCTATAGTCTAACACTAATACACATAGTCTATGAAGGAAATCAGCAGTAGTCAGCAATATGTTTATATTTTTAATTTGTTTTCAATTTTGTTTTCTAATTCAATTTGAATGCTGGATGAAATTTTGTTTTGGTATTTGGGATTCATTTAAATTCCTTACTATTGTAATTTGGAAATTCAGATACTTCCGAATCTCTGAATAATTAAAATTTTGTCCGAATTTCGATTCAGAATGCAAGGAATCGCACATGTCTAGTGTTGGATGGGAGTGTAAGATTTGGTTTGGAGGGACGTGCTTCTTATATTTTTGGATAAGTTTGTCCTTCAAAGATGAGGAAAGAACAAACAGAGGGTGCACAGGCCTAGTGCATTACCATAAAAAATGTTTAATAAGAAATAACGTAGGTGTACTCACAAACGTGTTTCGAGGACTTGCCTGTTCCTCAGAGCCACTGAGGCTCTGAGGAAGAGGCAAGTCCTTGAAACGCGTCAGCCTATTGGATGTCTACACTCCCTATTGCAGACTGTTACTCAGCGCGATGTTGACCCAGCTGTTCTTTTATGACGTGCCTTGTGGTGGTTTATGTAAGAATTTATTCTACTTATGAAGGGTGGTGTCCTTTTCCCTTAAATAAAATATCACAGTGCCTCCAGCCATTAAAATACGGCAAATATTTACTGAACCAATACTTTGGACACCTTAATAATTTGATCACCACTTATTAATATACCTTGAGTCCTTTTAGCCAGTATGATTTCGTACCATACACACAAAAATTGCCTTATAATAAATAAATAGATAAATTTATTTATGTACAAAAATTATATATATATTAACACAAAACGCAAAAGACTGGTAATAAATGGATACTGGTACACACGATCAAAAATATAATATACCAATTCTATACACCAAACAATTTTCTAGATAATAATAAAGATTACAATTAAATTTAGTGATAAATGGTCATTTAGAGTACTTCAGAGGTCATTTCTCCCAAAACGTGGCCATAGAAATGGGAGAAAATATTCCCTGATAAATCGTACTATAACCAATAAAAATTAATTAATTATGCAATATGTATAATTTCAATATGACACCAAACAATTCCTAGCAGTAATAATATGGATCTCTCTATCTATATATGAACACCCAATGCAGTTATTATCACCCCAATGCAATTATTATCACTCTAAACAAGAGAGGAAATATACAATACAATATTAATTCTTAACAGTCTCACCACACCCAGAACCTGGATTATGACGCCTCCCCAGTGGATTCAGCTGGCAATTGAAACGCCTTCAGAAGAATGGCCGCAGGGAGCAAGTGAGAGATAGTGCAGTAGGTTGTAGGGTTGATAAAAAGTGTAGGATGGTAGAAGTTCAGAGATTTAGGATTCTAGTAGAAGTTTTAGTAGTTTGAAAATATTGAGAAATAGTGTTAAAAGGTCTTTAAGTATTTCAGATGGGATAAATTTCAGCCTCGTCAGATTTCTTCAGCTTTTCAGATCTCCTTGGTTTTTCTGTAGCTTTTCTTATTTTTCTTAGTATGAGTTTTTTCAGCTTGTTTTTTTTAGATGAGGTG